ATCCACCGGTTGTAAAGATGCCATCCCGGCTGGCTCTGGAATTCTGGGAGTTGAAGTCCACAGGTGGTGAAGCTGGCATAGCTGCCCACCCCTTGAACTGAAGGGGTCCCTGGTCACCAAGGGTCGTCTGAGCTGGAATTTTAGGCAGGATTTTTGTTGTTTTCAACTGTTGAGTCAAGAACGGGGGCCGGGGGCTCTGGTCACGCGTCTCCTTTCCCCAACCTGGGGTGTGTGAGCTCGTTCAGTCTCTCCCTGCCCCTCGTAGGCTAAGGATGCTGGCAGGTGTATATCGATAACACAAGGTAGTCCTCGACTTAACAAGAGTTCGTTTAGCGACCGACGTTAACGAAGGCACTGAAAAAAAGGGACTGTTTTTCACCCTTAAGACCGTTGCAGCATCCCCCAGGGTCACGTGACCGGAATTCAGACGCCTGGCAACCGACTCGTATTTATGACCGTTGCTGTGTCCGGGGGTGGGGGGGTGTCACGCGATCATCCCCTTTTGCGACCTTCTGACGAGCGAAGTCAACGGGGGAAGCCAGATTCCCTTCTCAACCCGTGTTGCTCATTTCACAATTGAAGCGATTCCCTTAATAACTACGGCAAGAAAGGTCGTAAAATGGGGCAGGACCCACTTAACAACTGTCTCGCTTAGCACCAGAAATTTTGGGCTCAGTTGTGGTTGTAAGTCGAGGACTGCCTGTATTGCAGGGCTCTGCGCTGGGAAGGGTGAGCTGACTGTCGGGTCAGTGGCCGCTCTCTTCGCTTGTGTCTCTGGAGTTGAGTCTTCTGACAGTCGGCGAAAAGGGGCTGGGCCTGCCCTGAGCCTTGTGGACCTTCCTTATCTTCAAAAGCAAGGGCTAGTCCAGGGGTGGGCAACCTTGGCTCTTTTATGACTCGTGGACTTCAACTCCCAGAATTCCTGAGCCAGCCATGCTGAGGGGAAAGGGAGAGGTTTCCAAGGTGAGCCAGGCTGGCTGAGGAATTCTGGGAGTTGAAGTCCACGAGTCATAAAGGGGGGCAGAGTTCCCCCATGCTGGCTGAGGAATTCTGGGAGTTGAAGTCCATGAGTCATGAAGGGGCCATAGTTTCCCCCATGCTGGCTGAGGAATTCTGGGAGTTGAAGTCCATGAGTCATGAAGGGGCCAAAGTTTCCCCCATGCTGGCTCAGGAATTCTGGGAGTTGAAGTCCACGAGTCATGAAGGGGCTAAAGTTTCCCNTGAGCGGTGTATCTGAAGGCCATTCCCTGCCATCGATAAGAGAACCAGACTTCATATTTATTACGATCCC